TTGCATTTATATAGCATATTGTGAATTAGAAGCATTACATGTCATCTACTGCTGTTGCTACTAAATCAGTAGCAGACTGCTTTAGGTTATGTTGGTTCTAGTTTTGTGTCAATAGTTCAGATTATTTTTGGTTTAAATCTTTTTTTAGGCTGTATATATGCATTTATAATCCTGCATTATTATTAGTTGCTTAAAATTTTCCACGGCTCTGGGTATTTTCCTTTACGGGAAACTACAACAGAAAAGGGATGTGGAATATATTGCTTGCTACAGTAGCATAGTGATAGTAGTACTTCACACAGTGGTGGTAGTACTTGCCACGGTAGATTCTTCTGGTTTGTACAAGGCAGGCAGATGCAAACAAGGGCACATTAAATTGACAAAAACTATATTAGTTTAGCCTAGGAAATGGCCCTGAGGATCTTTTTGTATGTTAGAGTTATTGGTTGAGTGGGACACATTCAGTCACTGTGATCGTATTTACGAGGAGTCAGTAGATCAGGATTTCATTGGCTTCTTGGTAATGTCTCAAATAAACTGCAAGAACAACAGTATTCTAAGGAGAAATTGCTAGCAGAATTCTTTTCCATTCACCTGTTTTTGAAGTTTTCCTTTATTTATTCAAATGTAGATGACAATCATCTTCCTGCATCAGCTGCCTCTTGTACCTTCATTTGTCACACTTCTATTAATTCAGTAAAATCACTGATATGGCTTCAAATGCTTGCCTCAGCCATGGACAACTACTGACCATCATTATCACTGCACCTACATGCCAGTCATGAGGACTATGAAACCTCTGATATATTCAGTTGTTCATTTTTATGGCTGATGCATAAAATTCTAGACATGTACTTATATGTGTATCACCATAGTTAAACCATAAAAAATGCATGCATTTTATAAAAAAAGCAGACAGGCTCATTAGCAAAAGAGGTTTTTAAAAAGTTGTTTCCCTGATAACACCATAATTTTAAATCTGTGTTCTGTGCCTAGTTATTAGAGAGAACTAACCACTTTTAAAGCTGGAAACCTTAAAATCCAAGACAATAATGAAATTATGATTTTTGGAAAATGGCACCCATTCTACTTTGGTACACCTGTTATTCAAAAGTACTGCTGCTGCTGTTTCTTAGCAATAAGAAATATTGCCAAAATACTGTACTTCTTATGAGTGAGTCTTTAGCCATTCCCTGTGAAGTTGCATTTGAGATTCCCAAGTGCAGAGATCTGCCTTGTATTGTCTTACAGCTTTTTTTTGTTTGTTTCATATTTATCATTTAAATCCACAAAGTGAGAAATATTAATCAATGCTTTCAACTGGGCAAATGACTAAAGCTCTTTGACTGACATCCCAAATAAAGGTAACAAGAGCATTGCTATTCTAGCAGCTGGCTTTCCATGAAGAGATGCTCTCTAAGCAGCAAGTGTTATGTTTTTCTGAGATCTGCTGCTATAAAACTAAAATGTTTTTATGTCTCACTGTACTCTCTGATAAGGCAAAAGATGTTGATATCATTACATATCATTACAACAGGAAGGCCCAAAGAGCCAAGTGATTACCGATAGCTTCAATTCAAATCTCCCCTGACAGAAAATGCCATTTTCACTTCTAACACCCTTGATAAGTAATTTTTATTAATCTATCAGCAAACATACAAGCATATGCCAATATTATGATTCTATCCATTTTTTATGTCAAAGAGGTAATTTTAAAGCTATGATTATTTTAAAACTTTCAAGGTTGTTTGGTTTCTAAATGACACTTCTTGTAACTGCCATTATTTATGGGTAAACAGAACTACAGGCATCAGAAAGAGGGCCTACGCCTCCAGAATCTAAACTAATTATTGCTCCATCTGGCTTTGGCAGACAGTCAGCATAGCTCTCATTTGCACATGGTTTGATCTGTCCTCTCCTAAAATAATGATTAATAGAAGAATTTTAAATATTAATTTGTTTTAACTGTAGAAATTGCTTCGTTTGCACTTAGTGCTGCTAGCTGGTATTTGACTACACTGTTCTTCATTTATTCCAGATAATTGATAAGAGTAAGAGAGACCCCTCTGAAGAAATTGAGATCCTCTTGCGATATGGACAGCATCCAAACATCATTACTCTTAAAGATGTGAGTAGTCTTTGAGCACTTCAGCATTAAATGATTTTCATCTTATGGTCAGGCCCACTTATTAGTCCATGTCTGGAAGATTCTTCAGTTGAAGGTCAAAGCTAAAACCAGATCCATTGAAACCAGGGAAAAAAAAAATATGACTCAACAAATTACTGGATAACATTTGGAAAGTCTGGTCAGGTTATATATTCTCCAATTACTGTCTAACAGACTGTAAATAAATCCAAAGGGGCAGAGTGCTGGAGAACAACAAATGTGTTTGGTTTTGAAGCACTGTTTAAAAGGAGATCTCCCTAGCTGGGTGTTTCAGTGCACATTGCTGAACATACACAGTGGTGCTGCTGGACAGGGGATGATCTTTCCCGAGCAGCAGCCATTCCCATGCAGCCTGTGGTATGTGCTTTGTTGGGAAGAGGAGGGCTCACAAAGTCTCTAGGATTTCCCCCAATAGTGTTTTAATGCCAGGGAGTATTTACCTTCTACTCAAGCAGCCTGAGAAGATGTGAAGGTATTTTTCTTCAGCATTTCATATGAAAAATAGCCTTCACCATGCATACATACAGTAATGACATTTAGTCAGAGATGTTTTACTTACGTTGCTTGCAGTCTCACCTAGGATTGCCCACACCATGTCAGATTCAGAATTTACAGAACAAAGTCCTACTCATGTCCGTGGCCAGTACGTTATGGTTTAGACTTTGTAGAAGCAGATATAAATTTTCTAATTGTATGCCCTCAAGAGAGTCTCACTTAATTCCCAAGTGTTAAAGAGTATCTCAAAATTTGTGCAAAAAAGCTTTTGTATCCCTTTCCAAAATCATTTAGCATTGATGACTATAACGCTGCTCATTATTGCAGTCCAGGTAAAGGATTGTGACATGAAAATGGCTGTCTTCCAATTTAAATGACAAAATGTCTTTTACCCCTTGCCCTTGACACTGAAGATATCACATATGTTGTAGCTGATGTCAACAATGTATTCCCCAGAATTGCAGATATAAACTATATAATATCATTAGATGCAGGTCTTGGCCAACAGTATAATACAGTTCTTTAGTTGATCATGACTCAAAGGGAAATATTGATATTTCAAATGGCAAATAGTACCCTGTAGAAGTGTAAAGAGAGAACACTACTGAGAAGGAGGCTTGGGTGAGAGCCAGCAGACATTTGGGGCTGTGTGAAGTGGTGCTGCTTTTAGCAGCTTGGCCTGCTCTGTTGGCATGATAGCAGAACAAGAAAGCTACATTTCTGTGTGGTCAAATCAGCAAGCTGCTACAGACACAAGAAAAAAGTGATGATTAGGTAATTTAAAAAATTTTCCTTTTCTGTTGTTAAGCATAATAAGCACATTTCCCACACATTAGCTGACATTTTCTTCTTGCGCCATCTCACAAAAGCAAGCCAACGCTGTGATTAAAGGACCAACCTTTACCAAGTTAATGGGTCCAAAACATGTATTTATTCTGTTACTCTTCCAGGTGTATGATGATGGGAAATTCGTGTACCTGGTGATGGAGTTGATGAGGGGAGGTGAGCTCCTGGACCGCATTCTTCGGCAGAAGTGTTTCTCAGAGCGGGAGGCCAGCGCTGTGCTGTGCACCATCACCAGGACTGTGGACTACCTACACTCTCAGGGCGTAAGCATGGCTTTTTTGGCTTAGCTGCACCAGCCTTCTTAAAATCCAACTTCTAAAAATAGCAAATAGTTGCGATTTTGATTCTCTGGAATGTAAATGGGGAGGGCAGTGTTCCCCCCAAAAAATCGTTCACCATATTTATAATTACATTTGGTTTGTGAAATAGGGTCATAGGCTTTCTATCCATTTTCCCACTGAGCAGAAGTATATTGAAGTGGTATTTTTATTCCCATATTACAGGGTTTTTGAAGTTCATCTACCTTGTTGAGATATCACTTGTTTACTTTTTATCACAGTCATTATTGCAGTACCTGATCTCTTAACAGAATTTCAAATAGGGATGCTGAATCAGCAGATAGGTAGAAAATCAAATGCTTAGCTCTCCAAATGAAGTGAAAGTTTGAGCAGCTGATGCGAAAGGCTTCTGACATGCTGTTAAAAGCTGGCTTTTAGAGTATAAGCCTCTATATACAGCAGTGTGAAAATCTCTCTTTTTCTGCATTTCAGGGACAAGCAGTTTGGATGACTAGTCAAATATTTGCTGCTTTTCCTGCTTCATGGTTAAAACAAGTGCATTTTTTGCTTCAGCTTTTATGTTTTCATGATAATTTTTCAGTCATGTTATAACAAATAAAGGCTGTTTTCCCACCACTGAAATGCAGCGTGTCTGGTAAAACACACAGTCCCTTGAAGTTGTGTAAATACATTTTGAAATCAGGAAAAAAAATCCCTCCTTTCAGTTGTGAGCCACTCACATGTACAGTGAAGAAGACCTTACACACTTTCTTCCTATGATGTGATTTCTTCTTCACCTTTTAGCCGAGTATTTCAAGCCATCATATTCCAGGAGACTCTGCCACCGAGATAATCATACAACAGCCCACTCTGACCACACTCAGGAAAGTTGTCCCCACTTAATGCAGCAGCCTCCATCTTGATAAACCAGCACAGGCTGTCAAAGATTTTATTTCTCATTTTAACTTTAACCTTTTTTTTTCCCCCTCTTCATTTGTCCAAGGCTTTTAAGTAACTTTTTGCCACAACTTAAATATTTTCAGCATGAGCTGTTGACCTACCTCGACCAGCAGACCAGGAATAGCAGCCAAGCCTGGATGCTCCCTGACCTCCTCTTCTCACTTGTTTCTCGCTTCTCTTTCTTGTTAAGGTGGTGCACCGAGATCTCAAGCCAAGTAATATCCTCTACATGGATGAGTCAGGAAACCCAGACTCTATCAGGATCTGTGACTTTGGGTTTGCTAAGCAACTGAGAGCGGAGAATGGGCTGCTCATGACTCCCTGCTACACGGCCAACTTTGTTGCCCCAGAGGTAGGATCATATTTCAAAGCCTTCAATAATGAGTGTGTCATAGGAAGCAGTCCTTCCTCCCTCTCTCCCTTTTCGTTGCTGCCTTTACAGGAGGAACAAGGCAGAAACCAGGCTACTGGCACTTGGACAGTCTCTATTACCATAACTTTCCTATTCCTGAACTTATCATGACAGTTATTTTTCTTCTGACAGAAGCTGGTGTCTGTCTTGGACTGACTTACACAACGCTTTGACTCGTTACTGGTGTAAATATCTTTTTATCTCCAGCTGCTTCTGATCAGACTGCTTCCCCTCTAGTGCACTGTGTCAGAGCAGGATTAAGGCTTAAGAGGGAAATCTTGAGGTCAGGAATAAAATCTTCATGTCAGGTTGCCCAGGGAGGCTGGGGAGTCTCCTTGAGATATCCAAAAGCCATCTGGACACAATCCTGAGTAGCGTGTTCTAGGGGACTCTGCTTGAGAAGGGAGGTTGGACTGTATGCCCTCCAGTGGTCCCTTCCAGCCCTTCCATTCCATGATTCTGTGATAAGACTAAAAAATCTTTGCATTAAATCCTTATCATGCTGAAATCAGTCAGTTTTATGGTTGACTCCACTGAGCTAAAGAAGCACCTCTCCTCTTGGGCTTTCCTAGTACCAATCCCCCCCTCTTATGGGAGATGTAGGAAAGGGCTGCTTTCTAATTTTTACAGAGAGGGAAACAGATGAAGACCAAACAGCTTGTCCCAAGCATAGGGACAATGTCTGCCTCACTGGCAAGTGCTCCTACTTTCATGTAGCCTGCGGGAGTGGGCTTGGGTCATACATCAGTTTTAGTGGTTTGGGCTCTTTGCTGTATTTGACCCTTGAGATATTCATAGCTGCTTCCTTCTGATGAAGGAGCAACAAGTTAGTTTCCTGGGTAATTGTCCATGTCTTGGAGCAATGAAAATCAGAAATGTTAGTACTTTAGTACACTACTTCAAATGTATGTCTTCCTCAGCCTGTTATGGTCCATATAAGAAAAACAAAAGACTATTGTCTTTCAATACTACATCTGTCCTCTACTATAAAATCCTGATATCTCTCAGTTGGTATAAATCAGCAATCTTTTCTTCCCCATAAGTCTCCTTCATCCACTGTTCATGTGTACGGTATATAACTGGGAAGACAAGAATGGGATGATCTTTCTATACAAAATCCTTTCATGATACCAAAAGTTAATTCCAGGAACCACAGCCTTCCTGCATCAGAAAGAGAATTTGTTACATTAAGACCATTGCCAGGGCAGTATAAATTCAAAACAGGTTTATTTCAGCAAAGAAGTCTTCTATGGCCAAGAAAGATTGGTTTGTTATTTTAATGGAGTTTGGTTGGGTTTCCATATTAGAAATGGGAATGAGCTTTTAAAAATTTATCAAAGTACATAAAAAAATTCTGTAACACCATAGTCATTCTATTTCTAAACCAAAAAATAATCACATTTGCCAGATTTGCAACACTCAGATTTTCTCCAAGATACAATGCGCTTAAAATAGGTGTAGCTATTTTTCGTGATGGGCTATTTTGTGTAGTGACTAGTCACAAACGTTGCCAGCCCAGTGTATTTTCAGATCAGACTCTTCTGATTTGAACTGAAAACAGAAATCACTCTCCCAGACATTCGTGATGAGTAAGACGGCTCCTGCTAATGCAGGAGACTTTGGAGATTAATTGAAACATTACCAGAACTGGCAGAGAGCTTACATAAAGCCTTAAGTGCTTTTACATTTCACCTGTGATATAATGCTGCCCTCCAGCCTAGACTTGACTTTCATGTTCCCTGTCTGAGTCCCACTGCAACATCTGCCATGTGCTCATGAAACAAATCAAGGAGGCAGAAAGTCAGTTGAGCTGATGACAAAGAGGACAGTGACGGAAGAAGGAGGACGTGTTTGCCCACTTGGATCTCCCAGTATTTTGGAAATATTTAGTCTGGGGTTTCGGTGATAACAATAGCAAAGATGAAGGCTACCCGAGAGAAAGAGGCATGCTGCCACCTAGTGCGAGTCATGCTGCATGCGGGGAGGGAAGCACCGGGCTCTTGCCGTACTGATGCAGTAAGGTCCTTTTAGATTGAGTAAAAATATTTTATTCTTCAGTTTTCCTCCAATATCCATGAAGAACTACTCTTCTGGCATTTGAAAATATGAGATTGTTTGTTAGATTTTGTGCCCATACACATTGTCATAGCTGGAAAAAAAAAAGTGTATTTGTAACCTTGTTAACCCAATAAGTCAAAGTCTTGCAAAAATAAAAGGGGATTGGATAAATATCTGAGTAATTATCAGAATTGGATAAACACTGGGTATCATTGTCTGCAGGGTACCCATTCTCTCCACAATGCCCTGCTAAATGTGGCACTAAGAACCAGCTCGTGCCTCTATTTCAGATCCCACTGAGTTCTCAAGGTGACCCAAACCTCTTCATTGGTGGTAAATTCTTCAGCATCCATTACAGCAAGATGACACTGCATGTTTTGCAAAGCTCTTTCTCCAATTGATTTATTTCTAAAACAAATGCCTGTTTGTGTTTCATACCATCTCCTGCCTAGATCAAACACCAGTCTTTTTGGCCATGGTTTCTCACGCCTTCTTCTGTCTGCTCAGTGTTCTCATTTTAATCACAATTGCACAGACCTGCTGGAGATGTTTTCAAATAGTGGTGACACTAACTGATAACTCACTAGATCCTGTCGTTATCCGTGGGGTGAAGTTGCTGCTGATAAAAAGTACTTGCCAGTAAAGCTTTCCCTGGGCACTGACACAGAGTGAATGTCCCTGTTATGTAGCAGTGCTCCTGCAAACTGAATGATAGCACACAGCAACACCTCTCGATTATTTTGAGGTTGTGTAACCTCTTGCTTAATATCCTACTCCACTAAATAGCATCACTGCCTGGTTTTTCTGTCATTTACCTTGGACTTGATTGTTCTTGGTTATTGGAGGAAAACAGCAATGAAGTGAAAATGTAACTGTTCAAAAAACAACAAGAATGACCACATGGAAATATAAATGTTGGGTATTCAGTCTCACAGGCGAAGCAAGAAGCAACTGGGTTTGTCAAATAGCCAAGAATTTTTTTCCCATAAAAACTTTAGGGGAAAAAAAAATTATAGAGCAGGAATGAATGCAGGAACTAAAGAAATAGAAAGGAATATAACAGCCAGAAAGCCTATATATGATGTGCAGGAGAGAGAGGCAGAAGCAGGATTTTACCAGCTTTGTCAAGAGGAGGAAATGTGGCTTTTTCTCTGGTTTTGTTGGTGGTGGTTTTTTTTGGTCTGGTTATATTTTTTCCCAGGTAGCAAATGTTCGCTCAGCAGCATACCTGACAGATGGTTGCTTTACCATTCATCATTTATAAAATCTCTCAAGGCAACCTTCTTTCAAACTGTTTTTCCTTAGCAGAGTTTGGTCTTTTCTGTGATACACTTCAGATTGCTTTATTTAAGTAAATCACCCTGGGTAATAAGGCTGCAGGTCAGAGAAAGACTTGCTGAATTTGTACATTCCTTTTCCATGTGCTTTGCAAAAAGATGTATCTGCTGATCCATCAGAGCAGGACAGAACTTTCCTTGTGTATCAGAACTGAAAAAACAGAAGGGTAGCTTGCTTTTATGGGCAAGTGGAACAACTGAGGTGGTCCCTGAGCTTGGCTGGTGACTTCACTTTCACTTGGACCTGCACTGACCCAAATAGGCATCTGTTCTAAAGTGCACTAGCATAAACGAAATCTAGGCTTTACCCTTACTGCTATAACTTACCATCCTGCATCAATATTGAACCTACTGGTCAGATCTCTGCTGAGTACCATGGATCTTTGTTTTCCCCATAGGAAAAGGGGATCAAGTTTAAGCCTGCTATCTGTGAAGTCCAATCTAAATGCATCCACTTTTCTTTATACAGAAGTAATATAAGAACAAGCCTTTTATCTTTCTTTGCAGTTGTCATGCATCTTTATTAGTTTGGCATTAGATATGCTTTAGTGTGCATTCATTTGCTCTATCAAATCCAAAGTGAACTCAGTTGGAATACTAATCACTGTCATTCAGCCCTATGATTGTTGCATCCATAATGTTCTTGGGAACTTTTATGTTAGGAGGATGTGTTTCATAGGAGGATGTGTTTCAAAGTATTACTGGGCTTCTTTATTATGAAACATTTTCAATAATTGAAATATTGTTCTGCTTTGCTTCATCTTAGATGGTCAGAGAAGTTCACAGAGTCTCCAACAAACTTCATGCATCTCTCTCGCTGTGGAGGGGACAGATGTGCTTGGTTTGAACACTAACCAGCTCATTCTAGCCTGGACTTCACCTTTCTCCACACCGCTGCTGGACATTTTGATCCCATGGCAGCCACCTGTTCAAACCAGATCTGTGGTTAAGCCTTGGAAATGTCAGCAGATACAACCACTAATCAGTGCTTTTTGCAGATCAGAAGCTAAAAGTCCAGGAATGCAGATTAAACTGTTTTCATCTTTCTCTTTCCTTCACAAAGGTCCTTAAACGCCAAGGTTATGATGCAGCCTGTGACATTTGGAGCTTGGGGATCCTACTGTACACCATGTTGGCAGGGTGAGTGATGAGCTTCTCCTAGAACTGTAATCTTCAGTGAACTCATCAGTTCAGCACTAATTAATCCTGAAAGGAATCACAGATAGAGATAGTAAACTGTCTGGCCTCCTTGGAGCAATGTGTTTGGCTGTGTGAAGCAAGAAAATAGATGCCAAGACCTAGAGTTAGAATATGTTTTTCCTAGCATGCGTAAATACTTTGACACTTGACAGATTGTTTAGGGTTTCAAAAGACAGTGCCTGTAAGTATGCACTGAGACCTAGTCTCCTAAAGTGTTTGCTCACCCTTTTAAGCAGTGTGAAAGTTTTACATTAGGAGAGGTCTGTAGGACTGTGGAGAGCCACATCATGTTCACCTTATCCAGGGAAGGATGTTAATTTATTCCATTAATACATGTATTCTCTTCAGCTTTATTATTTTTCTTCTGTTACTGTTATTGAGGTATCTGAGCACCTTAAAAAGTTCAGAAAAGTCCCCACCCAAACATAGTTTTCAGATACTATTTGAAAAGGATAGAAGGTAAATGAATAGCTCAGCAAGAATAGCAACAGGCAGCAGGAACTTTTGCCTACCAATGTGTTGGCTAATTTTAAATATTGACACAAGAAAATCCAGAGAAAGAGACATATTGAAATAAGTAGTGAAGGATAGGATGTTCAACCCCAATCTAGAGTTATTAGGCCCCTGAAATTAATTTCTTGGATATGGTATGTGAGAATTTATCATCCCTAAGTGCAGCTCGAAACATTTCAGTGACCTCTCTAAACTGTTAAATCTGCTTCATGATCATTCATGTGTGGCAGAAAGCTTGGATTAATTTCTTGATTTTATACAGAAAACAAAGAATTGCACTCTACCTTTCCATTATTTGCCTTGTGGATTATGGAAAAGGTGACAGGAGTTTCTCTATCATCTGTTTTGTTCCTGACTAAAATGTGTTCAGCTTCACTGAAATATATTGTGACTTTCTGGGGAAGTCTGCCTGTCTGATAAGATCTCCAAGAACCTGTTTCTGTTTGGCTAATAGTATAGATTTGCAGTGATACACAGACAGAATCAGTAAAAAAAAAATCAAGACAGTCACATTTGTTCAGTTGATTATGTTCCAAATGCTTCCTCATTAAATGCAGGGAAAAATCCAAATACATTTGAATCAGAAATACTCTTGCACAACTTAGTGGATATTAAATTTACCGATGGGTGCTATTAACTTGTATCTCACTTTTTCTGCACTTACAAGAGAAAATAAGAGTAATACAAAAGTTGAGAAATGCTGACTTTTTAGTTGCCAATGCTGCATTTATGGATGACCTTGTTCTTCCTCACCAGAGGAGATTAGTAGGACCTGACTATTATTTGCACTTGGAATTTTATTCTTATCATCACTGTGAGCAGAAAGGGCTGAGACAGCCTGGACTAGAGTATAGGCCTGGGATCCTGTTAATGGAGCTAGTGACAGACCCCAGAGTCTTTGCCAGTCCTTAACTCAGTATTACTGTGTCCCTCCTGATAGTTATAGGTTGGAATAACATTACATATCTCTTTGGGCTGAACTTCTATGAAGTCTGAAATGCTTATGAAAATGAGAAGATACAGTGTGAGGAACTGAATTCGCTACTAGAAACCAGGTAGGATAGGAAGTTGTGGCCAAACCAAATATTTAGCTATCTAAAAACCCTCTGTCATGTTTTCAGAAGAGAAAAGATAGAAGAAAAAGTATAAAAATCCCAAATTATTCTAAACCTACACAGCTCTTCAAGATTGCAGAGTAAAATTGGACCTGGTAGATTTTAGTCAGCTGCAAACCCCTTATCTCTTGTCACTTTCTGAAAAAAAAAAGTGTACCCTCTGCATGAGACACTGATTTTGTAAAGTTGGGTTCATCTTACCAGTCATTTCTGACTGTCTGGATCAGTAAGTAATCTATTGCAGATAATTTCTTTTGCCCCATAGACTTGAACATTATGGCTAAAAAAACCTTACAAAACAGATTGGAAAGACTTCTTTTTTTCTTTTCCTTTCTTTTGTGTACCAGATCTTATTTTTTCTCCTTTAGAATTTTTGTCCTTTCTTGCCATTATCAAGGTACTGGTATTGGCAATAAAACAGAGTTAAAGCAAGAAGTAAAAACATGTCTATTTTTACAAAGAATATTTAATTCCTAAAAAAGGAGAACAGAATAACAATTAGGAATAATAAAAATAAGGAATCAGTCTTTCTGCTCTACAAAACAATATGACGAACCACTAGCTTTATAGGTTGAGTCAAAATGAAGTCATAATGTCTCTGGTAGATTCTGGAAACAAATTCCTGTTGTAATCACTGGCAGTTAGCACTAGAACCTAGAAATTACGAACTTGCAAATTACATTGTATTTTTCTCTCTGTCTCTCTGTTTGTTTGTTTTGTTTTGTTGTTGGTTTTGTTCGTTTTTTTTCTAAATAGATTCACTCCTTTTGCAAATGGACCAGATGACACTCCAGAGGAGATTCTGGCCAGGATTGGCAGTGGCAAATATGCTCTTACTGGAGGAAACTGGGATTCAGTATCTGATACTGCAAAGGTCAGTGAAAGACATCAGATTTTCTCTTGAGATTTAAACAGCACAGACATCTTTTTTGGTGCAACTGCACTTTTAAAACAAGTGAAGGTTTGTTAATGCCACAAATGTTTGGTCTATATATGGATCACCTTTTTGCTGCTCAAATTTAACCAGGAGCAGGCAGTTTACAAACTACCACTTTTAATTCCTGTACAGTTCGCAGTTTAGGCTGGGTGGGAAAGCTAGCAAGCTTCCAGTTGCCTGGCATTAATCAGAAACTCTGACAGGATTTAAGGAGATTTCAGTTTTAGCAACTGGTAGTATCCAATAGAAGAATATTGATACATCCCACCACAAAACTGCAATCAATCCTAATAACATGGTAATGTTGCTACCAACACCTATAAGCCTCACAGTGTATTTTTTATCAGATGTCCAGTTTTGAAATTAAAATGTTCAGATGCTGTACAACTGACCTAATTGAATTTTAGCTGCCTTAATGTTAGATTTCTATTCTAAGTTTCTCTTGTAACCATGCTTTGGGTTCAGGGAGGAGATGCCTCTAGATGGCGTGCTCTCCAGGGGGATTTCACTACTCCTGTGAAGTCACCAGTAATTAATGTTCAGCCAATAAGCTGAATACCCTCCACATTATCTTTTGACGGTATTATCTGCTGAGAGTTGAACATTACACTTGAAAATTTTGCAGATCAAGACCTGACACTTAAAGAATATAAAGCCTATCTGAAGTGCATCATTCTCTCCACTGGACGTGCTAGTGATGACACTGCCACTGGAAAGATCCTAGTAAAACCTACACTGCTATTAATTACTTTTTCCCTTGTACTGTTTTTTTCCTTTCAAACCCAGGACATTGTGTCTAAGATGCTTCACGTAGACCCTCATCAGCGCCTCACAGCAGTCCAAGTCCTAAGACATCCATGGATAGTGAACAGGGAGTATCTATCTCAAAACCAACTCAGCAGACAGGATGTTCACCTGGTGAAGGTACTTCTACACCCTTGCCTCTTCCTTCCTTGCAGAATGAGCTGTCATTTGGTAAATATTCTGGAAAGTGATAGAGGAGTTGGGAAGATTATTGCCACAGAGGCCAAATTTAATATGGCACTGTATTAACAGTAAAGATTTTTGACCTGTCACATGCTCAATATTTTTAACTTCAAGCTGCATTGTAATAACCTGGTGGTATTCTATGCATATTACTTCCATTCACCACTTTGAATCGGAGATACCCTAGCTGTCTGCCAGCCTAAAAGCTATTATCATTTCATGGAAATTGTGCATGCATCACAATAATTTCAGGAGACAGGATAGGGGAAGGGAAAACCATCAAGGAACTAAATTTCAGCCCGATGTTTTATCTTTCTCTATTTTACAGGGTGCAATGGCAGCCACTTACTTTGCTTTAAACCGAGCACCTCAGGCACCGAGGCTGGAGCCTGTATTATCCTCCAATCTGGCTCAGCGGCGAGGCATGAAAAGACTTACCTCTACCAGGTTGTAGCAGTACCCCCAAAACACCTCTTTGGAAGCCCACAGTTTATTATTTGAGAAATTCAACTTTACTTGGCTAGCAGACCTTTTTTGGACAACCTGCACATGAAATCGCCAAAACTAGCAGAAGCTCATGTAAGGCAAAGTTCTCCTTTGCTACATCATTTCTTTTACATTCCAGCCCAGAGCCCCAAGTTTAACAACTTCACAAAAATGTGCCAATTTTTCCAGTAGCTCTGTTTCTTTACTGAGATAAAGCCAAATAAAGTAGGTGTGCTCCATCCTTTCCACCCTAGGAAAACTATTTTTGAGTCCTTAAGATGTTCCATGGGAGCAGTGCTCAAGAAAAGCACTTTTTGCTATGAAGAATGCAGTCGGGTATGAATGCTGTTCCAGCATGTGTCATGATGAAGTGACTTGGCTGGTCACCAGTAGACATCTGCTGATCTCCACTCACCCCAGGAAGAGTGAAGGCTGCAGAGACACATGACTAAAACCTTATCTGAAACAAGTGCTATACAACATGAAGGAGAGAGAGCTGTTGGTGTTGAAAATACCTTCTGATTTCGAGGAATCTTTTGCACTTTTCCCCCACCTTCTCTGGAACAAAGCCAGCACCTCTCAAGGCGTGTGTGCCACTAGGCCTGACTTACTCAAAGGTCTCCGAAAGCAGAAAACCTCTGAGAAACTTGGTCTTCTGACGAAATTATTGGGTCTTATGAGACTGTGAGAAGGGATTCATGTAAAGCAGTGTAAGAGCCTATAGATCAGGCAAGAAAAAGGTGTCTGCTCTTTGCCAGCAAGCAGGGAGGACTAGGTGAGGGGTCTGGGGAACTGAGCAAGAGGCAGGGAAAGGTGTGGGTGAAATTGAGGACAATAGGCAAAAAGACGCATGGCAGCATGGTGGAGAGTACTGGCAAAGGCAACTAGCATGCAAGTGGTTGGGGGGCAAACTGGGACTCCCTTTCAAAGCAAGGGACAGTCCCTCTTCAGTGACTGGTACAGAAGGGGGTGGGTGGCTGGGCTGCCCAGGGGCCAGGGGGTCAGTGCAGCCATCCTCCCACTGTGTCACGCAGCCTGCTCACCAAAAGCAGTTCTGGCGGGCTGTAGTGCCACCCTGGAGCAAGCAAGGCCATTTCCAGTCATTGCTCCCTGCCCTTCCCTGGCTATTCACCCAAATCAGCCCCTGTCACCCAATGTTTCATGTCCCTGCCTAGCTGTTCTGCTCTAGCAGATCAAAACTCCCCATGCCATGTGTGTGCAGAGAGTACCACTTCTGAAGAGTTCAGCTAACTCTGTTACAAGCTTTAATAATAATAAATTATGAGGAGAAACAGGAGGATGCTCTGCTTTAATAGTTATATGAATATGTACATGTGTATTTATATACATATAAAACAAAAGTTCTGTACCCTAATACCTGGATTTTCCAGGTGCAGGGAAAGAGAACTTTTGTTGAAATGGTCTCAGCAAAAGCGACCTTTTTTCTCTTTCCCTGGTTTCAAAGAAAGTGAGCAAGGTTTATGGTGCCGGATGTGAACTATTTTTTTATTCTTTTTCTTACCCATCTTGGCTTAGGGTGGTCACAAGATGACCAGGATTCTTCTTTGTACTGCTTTTGTTAATTTTATTTTCTGAGTGAATTTTGTCACCTCAGATGCTTTGTGGGAAAAGCTACTGTGCTATGTTGGCTGTTTTCTGTTGTGACGGGGGGAAAAAAAAATGTGAACATGGAGCTTCATATGCTAGATGTGGTAATTTTTCCTTGCTGGGTAGTTTGTACATCTCAGTGCTGAACTGGAATTACCAGATCACTGAATCAGAGTGTCCAAGGGAACAAGGAGTTTCATTTGCTATAGCAATATGCTTCCTAAAACTAGCTCTGTTTCAATGTTGACTGAAGTTTGTTTGTTTGCATTAGTCTATTTTTAAATTTAAATTTATTCTTAATAATTTAAACCGATATTTAATGTTCAGGTTTATGTGCTGTGCACAGAGGACAGCTGCAAAGCAGCTCTCTTTGAAGCCCTTCTCTTTTCTAAAATAAACAATGCTGTGAAACTCCACACAGTGGCTGAATCGGCTGGGACTGATGAGTGCAAACACACAGGTGTGTGTCTGTGGTTATATACACAGCAGCCCACATTCTCTCCTGTGGCTAAGCTGTGCTTAGGGCCGGTTTTTTGCCGCCTTTAGAATTTTTTGCTTGTTAGAAGTTAAGTCTCACATATTTCTGCTAGCAGTACACTGTGAGGGTATCCACAAACAGGGATATCCTGGCTGGTGCAGAATAGCTCTGGCCAAGCCTTGTTTCCCTCGAAGTGACTTCTGTCCTGGAAGAAGGCAAGGTGGGCGCAACGATGCAAAGGACAACCTGGAGTGAGGGCTGGATTTTCTTGGGTCCCAGCTGGTATGTTCTGTTTCAACAAAATATATTTTTAATAGTCAGTGTAATTGTCTTGGATATGGGCAGAAGGAGTGTTGTAAAGATTATGTACAGGTTTTGTCTCCCTGTGAGATTTCCTGGTCATCTTACATTGCTTTGGTTTTCTTCTTCTCACAACCATTGGAAACAGTCTTAATTCCCTCTTGTTATACTCAGTCTTAATTCTTTGAGCATTTTTTTCAACTGAATATTATTGGAGGCCAAACTTACAGGATGATGCTCTTCCCGAAGTTGGATCGCCCCTTAAGCCATGGATGCCACAAGGGCTTCTTATGCTGCTGGTCCACTGAACTTATGCCAGCATATCCAAGTGCTGACATTAAAAAGGGCAGGTAGTCACTTTCTCTTGACCTCAGCTGCTCATACGTCTTTTTACACCTCTCTTATCCAGTTCACCATGGGACAAAACAAATGGGGACAGCAAGAAGGCAACAGCATCTGTTTTGCCAACAGCACTGTCAACACATCAGAGTGGCTACAAGTTCAGTGTCACCTCTGTTCCTCTGTTTCAGAGTTCTGCTGAGCAGAGCCCAGGTATGGCTCAGAGTCAGGGTGATAAATGATGGGATGTTTGTACAGCAGCAAGTTACCGGTGCCAAACCGTGGGCACAGAGAGAGAGGACAAGTCCAAGCTTCTGAAAATGAGTCCAAGCTTCTGAAAATGCGCCACAAGCTCATATAAACTCCCTGTAACCAGAAGGTGTAGGACCACTGATGGTATGCCATGGGGAAATAATGTTGACTGCATGTCTTTTTGCCACCAGTGACCTCATAAAGAGAATAGAAAAAAATCCAGGGGGTTGTTTTCAAATCATCTGTTTTTACAGAAAATTCTTGATTTTGTAGAGTGCTACGGCTTTCTCAATCCCTAGAATTAAGGCACTCAAACATGGAAGATGCAGAAGATTACTGTAGCAGAAAATATATCTTATCTTTCACTGGAAAAATATTTTCAGGCAGGTGTTTTGAAGCTCTGTCTTAGGATGTGTGTATCAGAAATGCCAAAGCAAATATTTAGAAGCAAAGTTCTCTTGTTGAACATTTGCAGGTGGCACCTTTAAACAAGAGTCACGTGAGCTCCACATTCACATATCTGAATCCTAAAAGACAGGTAAGCAGCAAAATCAGGACAGCCACCTCAGATATTCCTTACATTAAAATAAAAAGGTCTAAAATAATTTTAATAAGATGCTTTAGTATAGTTCATTAAAAAAAAAAAAAGGAAACTGTGCAAGCCTATTTTCTTTTCCTCTTTTGAAGGATACATCATTTTCCTTTAGAAGTGTGTGTTCTGACCTCCTAGCTGACCTTGCTTCTGAAATCCTGTGTTGCGCCAACACATTGCAGCTAAGCTGCTTCTGGTACCTCAGTTCCTGTGTGAACACAGTCCCACATTCCTCACTCCATGTCTACCCACAACAGACGCAAGCAACAATTGCAGACACTCTACTATTCTGAAAGTTAGCAAAAGTGTGACAGTTTTAACTCAGAAGATGAAGCGAAGTTAAATGTAAGGTTCTCATTGCGTACAGACCTGAAACTCTTGAGTGTTTAGGTGAAGGGTGGTTTAAAGTCTGCACAGAACAAAAATGTTACAGAGTAAATAAAATCACAGTAGTTCAGAGAGCCAAATTTTAGCTAAAATCTCTTCATAGGTTTTTGTGGGCCTAGACCTTGCATTTCCAGGTGCAACTAGATGACATGTGTGTGTCAGCCAGGTAACCAAGGCATCTGCTCAAGCATGTCACCACAAGGCTTGCACATGGAAATGTTTTGCAGCCTGAAGTTTGGAGTCTAAGAGTAAGAATTTGGTCTTTTTCATCATCCTGTGTTGTGTAAGCCATGATGTTCAGTGTTGAACTGTACAACCACTGTTCTTGCTTTGGTGTGCATAGTTAGAGAGTCAATTTGTGCTCCATTATGTCTCCTAAATGGATGTTATGAATATAGTTTTCAGAGACGCTGTAGCCAGAAAAGAAAATGAGGCAAATTAATGCCCTTTTTGATAAAGGCAAATTTTGAAAGGAGAGACTGGAAAAACGCATTTGAAGTGCAGAAAATAAAAACCAGTTGCTAAAAGATTGTTTCTGATTTCCTACTCAGAGCCAAATCTTGCATCCTTCGCTCCTATGTTAGTTCTTTAATCCATATGCACCTTCAGGGAATCAAGGGGAATAACTCAGAGTAGGGTCCTCTCTCCTTGGCCATTAGATGATGATGTATGTAAGGGATTTACTTGGATAGTATTAAATAAATTTGACTAAATATGAACCATGATCTAGCACTTTGTTTACAGGCTCCATATTCATGTTTACAAATTATGACTTCTGAGGCTCATGCTTTTTATGTTTCCTGTATGAAAAGGGCAGCCAGTGTACAGATATTTATTATGTTACCAGCGTTTCTGAATAGATTTTTTTTATAGTACATGGTTTTATGAAGTGTAATATTTTTATAGCAGAATGATGATCTTTGGACTTTATATATTGTTACCTACAGTTGTTTGCAAACAAGCTCTTCGCTCCCTTTTTTTCTGTGCACTGTATCCCATGTTGCTGCTGCTACTGTTGCTGGCCTCAGCTGCTGCTGCCCCACTGTGACGTGGGCTGATGGTATTGTGAAAGTGTGCAAACTAACTTCAAAGAGTTGTGATTGTGCTGAAGGGCTGGCTGCATGCTGGGTTCCTCCTGGCAGGAGGGATGGGGAGCTGTACCCTACCAGAGAAAGAGTTTACTGTGGATGGCCCCCAAGGAGAAACCTCAGTGCTCACCTTTGTATTCTGCCATTTTGGCTTGGCATGCCCATCCTTTCCTTTCTTTATAAAGAAATAAAAAGAAAAGAGAGAAAAAAAAAAAAAAAAAAGGATCCTGTTCATTTTTGCACAATTCCTTTCCAGTCCCCAAGCACTGGCCATGTTTGAATGCCATGTGTTGGTCACAATAAAAGCACAGTTACTTACTAAAATTATCCCTGGAGCTGTAATCTCTGTGCAGCCTGAACACTCAAACCTCTGCTTCGGGAAGCAACAAGTAAGCCTTTAACCCCTCATCAGTCATACAGTTCACCCATAAGACAAATTTAGGATTTCAGTACCAGACAAATGAGTCCTATCTCACAAGCTGCCTAGCATGAATTTCCCTTGCCCCTTTGAGATCTTCCCAAGGTCTCAAACTGTTCCTCTGCAACCGTTCCTCTGCAAACTGCCAGTCACTGGCAAGCAGCCTGCATAGTCTTTTCTGCTTGTTGAACTTATTAGTGACCACAAAAGCAAAATCAACCTCTTTTTATTCAAGGATTGGTTCTGCTTCCCTGGCATTGCCACATCTGAGCTTGCACACAATTACACTGGCCTTCACGTCTGGATTTTCATCAGATCCAGCAGCATCACAAAGGTGATGAGTCTGGCTCAGGCTCCACGCAGGAACAGCATGTGGTCCCAGATACTGAGAAACAGCATGTGATGCAGGTCCAAGCAAGCATAACTGAGGAAACTTGGACCTGTATGTTATTTGTAAGGTCTCTGCTCTGACCGTAGGTAGCCTTATGCCTCTGTTCTCCCATCAGCTGCTCCTGTCCTACTCCCACTTCTTCCTTTCTTTTCTCTGTCATAAAAGAAAGAACCCTTCCTGCTCCTTTAGTCCTCATGGTCCTTCACCACTGAGACATTCATGTCCCTACCAATTCTCTGCCTCTGCACCCCAGTGCCTACCATTAACTATTTCTCTCTTCTCTTACCAAGCCTCTGTCCCACAGGTCCATCTTGTGGGTTTTGTAGCCTCTTCTGGTCAGCAAGCCAATGACTCCTGTGCACCCGTCTTTATAAGCCCAGTGGTTAAAAAAGGAGGGTTCCCTGGAGAACCATAATCATATACAAGAACATCCAAATTGAAAAACTGAAGAGGAAAAAAAAAACAACAGGTTTTCTCTTCCCTCCCCTCTTCTGTGCCTCTACATGACCATGATCAAGAATGAGCCAAATTCAGCCACTCTTGGAAAATACATAACTTTTCAGAGGACCTGGTTAGGAGGCCTTGGGGAATGCTAGGCCCTGGGCAGGAAGATACAGGTCTTGACCTCCAACCCTAGAAAATGAATAAATGAGAAGGTTTTCCAAAATATGCTCAAGTTCTTCATCACGATACAGCCCTTTTAGGAAATCTGCATTGGCACCATCTTAAATTTCTCACTGACTGAGGAGCAATGATGCTTTTTCTCCTGAATTGAGAAGAATGCATTTGCTTAAAACAAACAAACAAACAAACCACAAAAGTAGCAAAGAACTTCCCTCGCTCTTGTAATTTTGCTCTTTAGTCAACATTCATTTCCTTCCTGTGTATTTCTCCAGCTTTATCCCATCCCAGTTCACCTTCCCTCAGAGGCAGGGAGGCCCTGCAGAGAGACCTCAACAAATTAGAGGTCTGGGCAATCACCAACTGTGAAGTTCAACAAGGGAAAGCTCTGGATTCTGCACCTGGGACAGAGCACCCCTGGATGTTTGTACAGACTGGGGAATGAGATGCTGGAAAGCAGCACTCTGTAAAGAGACCTGGCGGTCCTGGCTGATGGCAAGTTGAAAATGAGTGAGCAGTGCCCTGGCAGCCAGGAGGGCCAACCGTGTCCTGGGGGGCATCAGGCAAAGCATCTCCAGCCAGGCAAGGGAGGGGATTGTCCCACTTTGCTCAGCACTGGTGTGGCCCCATCTTAAATATTGTGTGCAGTTTTGGGTGTCACAATATGGGAAAGATATTAAGCTCTTAGAGTGTCCAAAGGAGGGTAATGAAGGATAGGAAGGGCCTTGAGGGGAAGCTGCATGAGGAGCTGCTGAGGTCACTTGGTCTGTTCACCCTGGAGAAGAGGAGACTGAGGGGAGATCTCACTGCAGTCTACAAATTCCTCATGAAGGGAAGAGGAGGGGCAGGCACTGATCTCATCTCTGTGGTGACCAGTGACAGAACCCAAGGAAATGGCCTGAAGTTGTGTCAGGGGAGGTTTAGGTTGGATATTAGGAAAAGGTTCTTCACTCAGGGGATGGCTGGGCACTGGTACAGGCTCCCTGGTGAAGTAGTCACAGCACCAAGTCTGACAGAGTTCAAGAAAAGAGTTCAAGAAACTTTTGGTTGCTTCACCCCCTTTTCATGTCCCACTTGTTGTGCACCATGAAAATTGTCCTGAGGCTCAGAAAGTCTTGTTATATGCCTGAATAGCATCTTGTTCAAGGGCCGCATAACTGATGGCTGAGAACCTTGAGCACTACAGCAAGGCAAATGATAGGCAGTAACAATAACAGCTAATGTATGAAGATCATAAGAAGTGGGGATTTTTCACTAAAAGCTATGAAAAAGAGCTGAAGACAAGGATTTCAGGCTGTGTCCAGCCTTTAGAATCCCTTCTTCTATCCAGACAGTA